GGGCTAACAATCGAAAAATGGCGCGTTTGAAACTGGCAAAGTCATATGCACCTTATAGATAAGGATATACTACAAGAAAGCAAGAGAGGACTCCATGCTGTAGTGACTGCTCAGTCTTAAACATTGCCATCCCAAGAAAGCACTAGCATTTGATTGCATCAAAAAGCGGAACAGACTGGATGTCTATGAATGTACGATGCAAAAAATAATGCCCATCATCGAAGTGCAAAGACCCATATCCATATAGTCAAAAATTTTTATCTTCCACTTTCATCGGTTTCAAACTGCTTCCTTTCGTTTGCAACTCTGTTAAGGATCAAATATGAACCGGCTGTCAAAATTGTTTTCATTTCTTCATAATCTATCATGCCTTTTTCGATATTTTCTGACCTTGTCCAACAGACGCCATTTTCCATTCAAGGGACAGACCGCACGACGATAAAATTTCTTTATATTTCGTTTAAGACTGATACGGATTGTGGCCCTCAATCCTTTCGGGTTTTCCAACAGGAGTGGAGTGTCCTCCGGTCTCATTAGCCGTTCATATTTAGAACTAATGGCAGGCCTTCACAACTAAGGTTAAAGAATTAGCACGGTAGTTCGCTGTAGCTGCGACAAGTTACTTATGAACCGTACGCTCTCCATCAAGGATCGATTAATGGAGAGCAAGGATATTACTGGAATACATAGCTGATCAACGAGAAATAAACTCGGTGCTGCAAAGTACGTTGAGTGGGAAATTGCAAATTGCCTAATTCCACCTCTCAACAAGTCAAGACTGACACTCACGTAAAAAGTAAACCACCACGTTCAAAAACCGAGACCTTACGGAAAGAAACACTAACAACGAGTTACTTTTGTCGCCATCCACTTCAGCGATGTTCTTGCTCTCCTTGTGCTTGTCCAACAGCTGCTTCAGGGATTGCGCGACAACTACATTCAACCTTTCCACAACAGCTTCGCCCTTAGGACGGGGAGCGGCAACCGGAGGTTTCGCAAAATTGACCTCGTGCACGACAAACTGAAGCAGCACGTGAAACTAAGCCGTGCATGCTATATTACCTGCACACCTGTTCTTTATCAGCCACTTTTGGCTTTGCTGGCTCAACCGGCTTCTCGCAGCTATGCTGCCCTGTCGTACAGCCCTGAAATTTGATATCAATGTTTCACGTATTAAATAACATCACATATAAGAAAGCAGGCTTTTAGTAGCTATTTACTAAATATAACTGATAATTTCCCTGGACGAATCCGACTTCAAACACACATAGAAAATCGTCATTGAATCGTAATCGCATCGAATCGTAATTGAAAACTTAATAATGTTTAGAGTATTTCAACATAATGAATTTTATCAACTGAGTAATTTTCTAAAAGACCAAGTAAGGGATTTGTCTTGCAACTGCAAGATAATCGACATTACGATTACGAAGGTTATTCCTTCCGGTATTCATTATTTAGCGACGCAAGGAACTGAGATCGTGGGACTGCGAGTATATCAGAGTGCAGGACGCACATTAGCGTATGAATTTACCTTACTTACTGGATCACTAGTTTCTATGGAGGAGGAATTCTCTGACCAGGTATTTGCAGATAGCGCTGGGGAAACAGACTTAATGGTCCATCATTTTTTGCCATTCATCAACTACAAGCAAGTTGAAGGATAACCGAAAAAGCTCACCAAAATGCCACACTCACAACTATTACAATGGCGAAAAAGACAATAATGAATGCCCGCTAAAAGGTCGGAGCAAATCCACACAAAAACATTGCGCAAACTTCAAAGTTACAACGTAGCATACATTGTATATGTTCATTCCTCTGCATACATTTCAGCATCAACACTTGATCAACAACTTGAATCACTTATCAACGTGCATCAGCCCATAAGAAAATTTTTATACGAGAATTAAGAGCTAAATCTAATTACCAGCACTGTCATGAAACCTATCTGAATCTAGCACAGAGGAACAAAATACACAAAGCAAGCTAAAAGTTACATCTTAAAGTAAGTAACAATCAAAATCAACTGCGTCAGCAAAATTTTCGGTATTTCAAGCACATCCTTCAATAGACCCAATTTACTTAAAGCAATATGCTACTTAACCACAGATCGAAGCCTGAAACACATATTAAGCATTTTAAATCAAGTAACAACATTTATTTCGAAGAAAACAAAACCTGGCTGCTTTAAAAAACAACGAAACTGTCGAGAACTAAGTTTAAAAAACATAAAAAAGCAGGTCATCATATTTATCCATTTTCTAAAATCATTAAGAAATGCATAACGAACCCGAATATTCAAAAATTCGGTAAAATCTGTAGTTTTTTTCTCGCAACAGCTCCATTTCTTGTAAATGTCATGAAATACTGGTTCACCAGGATGAAAAACGCAGGCTTCTGAAAGCAATACCTGTAAGTGGATGGCGAAAACAAATCAGAATACAAACGCTTACCATCGGAATTCTCGTCCGGATTATATTTTTTTCCACAGCCTTTGTGGTAACACTGCAGCAGTGACATGCCTAGTAATCACGAACTATACGGAACCAACGACTTTTAGCCGCCTTCCTTGGATTCAACGAATGTTCTCGCACTTTCGTACATTCTGTTGTACCTAAAAATCTTTTAAGTCGCTTAATGACTGTATCTCGCGAGATTAACCGAGGTCACCGATTAATTTTGCCTTCCCGTCTAATTAATTGCATCATATTAAAATCTACAACTTAATTCATGTATCGTTTATAATGATATTACCCGTTGCTACGGGTAAGTAGAACAGGCGTTATCCACAGCCACGGAAACATGTGTGCGATCGTAGTAAATGGGAAAACTAGTTGTTTGCTGCTAGCAGACGACTTTTGTTTATCAGCATATTCAAAAACTCATGTCTAGCACTTTCTTGAAAAGTTTTTGACTAATACGCGTGTCAACGTGCTTCAAGCCAAAAAGGCGCATGGTTTCTCCTTCTGCCATTGCGTTCTGCAGATTAACGGAGGTGTGAAACAGATATAGAAGTTAGCGTATCTCTTGCATGCATTTACTGATGATGAAACACTGTAGAAAGAGATTCGCCGGCAGAATGAAACTGAAGTAACCCGCGGTGATCTGAATGAACTAGTCCATGACCTTATGGTTACAGCAGAGCTAAATATATAGACTAGGTTCAGCAACTTTAAGTGCATATTTCTCCCAATGCTCGCCAATCGTTGGCCATGATTAAAAATCCGTCGGGAAGTAGCTTGAACTGAGCTTCAGGCGAGATTCATTAAATTCACCCATCTGGCGATGTTCAGGAACACAGATATCCGAGAAAGCCTTGGTTTACAATTGCTATTTGCAAAGATTCTTTCTAGATAGGACTCCAGTTATCTTCTCCCGCGACTAAACTTTGGAGCCATTGTTTGATACGTCTGTTTTTTCAAATATTAAACTGTCATTGAAACTGACTGACTTTGAAACAAATCGCGCAAGATTATGCATTTTCGAAAACTGCTGTCCATCAACGAAACCAGATCATCCTCGAAGTGCAGTGGAATCGCTCAAGGATTAAGTACTCGATAAATCCTACTGCAGCACTTTAAGTACGACATCTTTGCAAGTATGCTTCCAACCGAACCTACCTACAGAAGCGAAAATTTCGGCTTAAGATTGAAGATGGTAAATCTGCTGCACAATCACGATGAACAATGAAGGGTTAAAAATTTTCCTAGAAATAGCTTGTCCATTAGACAAGGATCACGATTAGCAGTCGTTTACCAAACTAATGTTTCCCCATCTACAGACGTAAACGTGCGAAGTTTTTATCAAAGCACAATATATTGAACTAAATGATGCACAAAACTGTGCATAAGCCTGTAATCTTTAAAGTAACGTTCTGATCTACTGTTACAGTTTAACATTCGGTGAGTAAAAGAGAAAGAAATTATTATCTTATGAATTAATACAGTGTAGCAAGCATTAAACAAGATTGCTAAAAAACTAAAAAATTCACACAATTACAATTCGATTAGTATTGCTGCAGTGACATGTTTAGGATTCATAAGGCATTTTAGATTTTTTTCGGAATTGTCTACGACGTTTGTTTGCTTATTCCATCGAATATTGATAGTCTTTCTTTATGGGCATAAATTTCC